CCCATCCTCTCGAGCGTTGCCTTGTTGACGAGGAGGCCGCAGAAGAGGAAGGAGTAGAGCGCGAGCATCGCGCCGAGCTGCATGCCGGCCGAGGGCGAGCGGCACGCGATCCCGATGGCCGAGGCGAGCGAGTAGCCAACCAAGTTGGCGAGCGAGAGCCCGAGCGCAAACATGAGCGCCGCCGGCGGGCCGGTGGCGGAGTGGGCGGCCCCGAGCGGCGCGCTCGAGTGTAGCCCCGCCATCGGGTAGACGATCGCCGCGCAGAGCAGCGACGGCACCACGCGCAGTGGCAGCGCGTCGAAGAGGAACTTTGAGGCGACGTAGCCGAGCGGGCCGTAGCAGCCGGCGGACGACTCCTGCACAAGCCGAGCAGGAGGCAGGTGGGAAGGAGACAAGTGAGAACAGGATGAGAGGAAGGGTGTGGGCACTGTAGCAGCCGTCTATCTCTCGGCCAGATCTCGGCCAGGTCTCGGCGGGTCTCGCCTGGAAGTAGAGAAGCCGCTCCGAGTGCCACAGCTGGATGTTGATGAGGGAGGTGAGCATGAAGACCAGCATGAGGAAGAAGAGGAGCCCGATCCGCTGCAGCACGCCCGAGTCGAGGGCGTTGTTCTTGCCCGTCTGCCAAAAGGCGAACCCCGCAAGCACGGCGAGCACCAGCGTCGACACGAGGTTGACCCAGATCAGCATCGGGTGCCGCAACGCCAGGCGGCAATGGCGCGCAGAGAGCGAGTCGAGCTGCATCGCGAACGAGACGGGCGCGCACTCGCGGCGCGCGGCGCGCACGAGGAGGCCGCGCCAGCCGCCCGCCTCGGCGGCGGGCTCCGCGATCTCTTCCGGCGGGGTCGCCTTGCCTGCCTCCGCCCGCAGCAGCGCCTCGATCTTGAGCACCATCGCGCCGCTCGGGTCCGCAAGCGCGTCGAGCAGCGCCTCCGCGGGGTTGGGCGAGATCTGGGCCAGCCGGGGCGAAGCGCCGTCTGCGTCGAACCACTGCGCCAGGGCGCACGAGCCTACGAGTCACAACGGAGAGGAGTGGGCGACAAGAGTCCTCCTGACAGAGCCTGCGCCGCCGTGCGCACGAGCCGGCCGCAGTCTTGACCGGGCCGCCGTACAGGAGCCGCCCGCCCGCCGCCATCGCCACGAGGCCAGTCATCGCCTCGAGGAAGCGGTACGTCGGCTGGTGCACCGAGAGGAGGATGGTCGGGCAAGCGCAGACTCGGCCGCCCGCGGCGCCGCCCTCCCCGCCGGCCGCCGGCTCGGCTAGAGCGGCGGGCGGCGGGGCGGCCGCGTCGTTGGCGGGGAGGGCCACGCCGACCAAATCGCAGAGGGCGGCGACGACGAGCCGCGCGTTGGTCGAGTCGAGGCCGGAGAGCGGCTCGTCCATCAGCAGCACGCCGCGCGGGCTGCCTGCTGCCAGCGAGGACGCGTTGATGAGTGCTACCTGTCAGCAGCACGCTGCGAGGGCTGCCGTGGATAGCGATGAGCTCGACCGCCACCGAGACGCGGCGCCGCTCCCCGCCAGAGAGGCCGCGCATGTGCGCGTCTCCGATGAGGGAGGAGGCCTTTGGCGGGGGGGGGGGGGGGAGGGGCACTGTCAGCCGGAGCCAGGATGGAGCCGAGATGAGCCGAAACAAGCCGAAGTTTGCGCGTCTGTGGCGAGGCGTCTGTGGCGAAGGATGGGTGCCTTGCGGGTGAGGGACAGGGCGGTGAGCGTCGAGGCGACGACGGCGGCCCGCTGCTCCTGTGGCAGCCACGGCAGCCGCACGCGGGCGTGGAAGTGCAGGTGCTCCGCCACGGTCGAAGTGCCGGGCAACACGTCGTCCTGTGTGACGTACCCGACCTGCGGGACACTCTTCGGAACGTGTCATGGCAACGTGCCCTGCGTCCTCCCGCGCCGCGTGCCACGCCTGCAGCCGCCGCTCGGCGGAGCTCGCACGCACGCCGCCCAGCGCGACCGTGCCTCGGAGCCGGCCGCGCGACTTGCGGCCGGCGAGGATACCGAGCAGCGAGGACTTGCCGGCGCCCGACGGGCCGATGAGGCAAGAGAGGCCCGGGCAGAGCCGGTGCGAGTTCGGCTCGAGGATCCGCTTCCGCCCCACGTCGTACGCGACGCCGCTCCAGCTGAGCGCGGAGCCAGAGGCGGCGGGGCCTGCCCGTGCGGCCGTGCGGGCGGGCGGACACTCGCGCGCGGCGGCGGCCGCCTGCACGTCGGCGAGGAGCGGCACGCCCGACGGAGTCCGGCGGTGCGACGCCGGAGGGGCGAACCTGTTGACAGTGAGTCGCGGGTCGACACTCGCTCCTCTGGCGGTGCGGCGCCGCCGCCAGAGGAGCGGAGCCCGAGCGCTGCCGACGTCTCGACCCCTTCGGCGGGCGTCGACGGGCGCAGCGCGCTGCGGCGTCCGTCGGCGGCGTCGGCGGCGGCGGGCGCGGCGAGGTCGGCGGTCCCTCCTCCCTGGTCCTGCTGCGGCGAGGAGCGGAGTGGCGCGGCGACGAGAGGGCTTCGAGCGCCGAAGCTGTCTGAGCGGCGCGACGCCGGGGGACGCGCGTGCCGGAGGCAGGAGCCTTCGAGTGGAGAATCAAGAGTGAGTCTCACCAGTCTTGCTAAGGAGGACGGGCGGGGCGGAGGCAGGCGCCGGTTCCGAGGGCGATGCACCACCGCGCCACGAAGGGGAGGAGCAGGCCTGTTCGCACCGCTCTGCTGTCAGCGTGTGCAGCTGCCCGCCTTCGTGAGCGGTGCGGGGAAGAGCGGGCCGACGGCGAGGAGGAGCCACGTGGTCGCGTACGAGGCCCACATCCAGCAGTGTGCATACGTCGTCAGGTCGGGCGAGCCGCACACGTCGCTGTAGTGCGGCGCCTAAGGGACGTGTCGTGGACATGTCATGGACGTGGCATGGACGTGTCGTTGACACGTCGCGGCAGGCGGCGCCGCGGGCGGCAGCGGCGGCGGCGACGGGGGCGAGATCTGGGCAGGATCGACGCACTCGCCCTGCAGCTGGCAGGTGAGGCGGAAGGAGAGGCTCCGGACGGGCAGCCGGACGACACACGGCGAGGAGGCGCGGGGCGGGAGGGGCTGCCCGCTCCGCCCTCTGCAGATGACGTGGACGGGCGGAGTGAGCTGAGCGCGGATCAGGTTGCACTCGGCGTACCTCGCCCAGCCGTTGTTCTGGTAGTGCGAGGTCGTGCCTGCGGGCGAGGGGGGGCGAGGACCGTCCTTCTCGTGCCCTGTGTGGACTTCCCTCTCCGGCAACCTCTCCCGGCAGGGGTAGGCTGCGCCTGGCCCCTTGGGAGGCAGGTCCTCTGGGCAGACAGCGTCGAGACTCTCCGGCTCCGCGCTGCTCTGCCACTCGAAGCAGCGGTCCCCCTCGGACCACGGGAAGGACACCTCCCCCTCCACTTGCGCCGGGCAGGCGATGTCGCTCGCCCTCGTCTCCTCGCCAGTGAAGAGCACCTACTCCGCAGCGCGTGCCGTCGTGCAACAGAAGCTACCGCCGTGCAGAGGCGTCGCCTCCAGGAAGAGCACCATCCCGCCGGAGAGGATGCGGTCTCCGTCCCCGTGGGTCGGCGTCGCGTCGTTCTCGGGGTAGAAGCCCGCCCAGTTCGGGTTCTCGGCCACCCGCATCATCCGGAAGAAGGAGCCTGTTCACACCGCGAGGGTTGCGGCTTCTACCAGGCAGGCCCAGGCCAGCGCCACGGGCAGCCTCCGCTGCTCGAGACGCCAAACTCGACTCTCGTGCCAGAGGCGTTGTACCACTGCGTCATCAGCTTCATGTAGTCGGGCACCATCTCCTCGATCTCGCAAGAGATGTTGCCGCCCCTGCCCAGCGAGAAGGAGCGGCGGCACTCCTCCCGCGCGCCGCAGCCCGCGTCGGCGTTGCAGCCGCCGCAGGTGATGCCCGCACGCCCGTCGGGGCAGTCGCAGGCCTGGAGCAGAGGGAGGGGGGGTAGGGAGACGGCTCGGGTCCCAATGCAGGGAGGGAAGTGTGAGAAGGGACGGGGATCAGGCCGGGAGGCGACGTCGAGGCTTGTGTCGCGGACTCGCGCGCCTGCGACGTCCAGTAGGGCGTGTGCCCGCTCCCCTTGGTGGAGTTGGCCGAGGAGCGCATCCCGCCCGCCTCGCACAGCACGTCCCAGATCTCCGGCGCGCTGTACGTGTAGTTGACGCCGCGGTATCCCGTCGCGTTCAGCTCGTCGGCAGTATAGGTGTACAGCGGCCCGTGGTAGCGCGCACACTTGGACCGATCTTCGTTGGTGCAGCCCTCGACGTGCGGTACCCGGTAGTTCATGTCGAGCACCTTGGCGCGATGCAGCTCCACATCGCTCGAGTTGCCGTCGCAGCGCAAACTCGAGAGCGGGCCGCTCTCGTTGCCAGGCACGCAGGAGAATTTGTGCGCGCACCAGCCGCACTCCGGGTTGGCGACGCAGGAGAAGCCGTCGCGCAAGCGAGCGCAGCTTCGCCCAGCGTTCAGGCCGGGAAGGAACAAAACGGAGAAGCCAAATGCCATGGAAGCAGGGCCTTGGACGCAGAAAAAAAATTCTGCGCAAAAAATTTCGCTTGCGCGCAGAAAAAAATTCGCTGAAAAAATCTCGCTGACGCAAGGAATCGCATCTCGCGTTGTCGAGAAACTTCTCTGACGAAGGGACGGACGCCCGAAGAGCATGTGGAGGCTGCCGGCCGCACACCGTGCGGCGTCTGCTCGCCTCACGCCGCTGACACGGTTCGCGAGGTCCCTCTGCCTCGCCAAGGGCGAAGCTTCAGACGCCTGGCACCTGCTGCGGCCGGAACGCAAGCTGGGCGACTTGGTGCGGATCGCCGGATAGACGCACCACGCAACAAAGCGACTCATGGCCCCGCTTCCCCACCGCCCAGGCGGCGCTGCGGGAGTCGTTCGATAAGCTCGATCTCGACAACTCCGGAAAGATTGACCTCGACGAGGTCAAGAGCGCGCTCCTCCAGACCTTACGTGATAAGGATGAGGCCAGCACTCGAGCAGAGGCTCGTCTGCCCCCAAAAGAGCCGCCCGAGAGAGAGCGAGCGAGCGAGAGAGAGAGATCGCGCGCGCGTGGCTTACGAAGACAGATGTCATAGATCAGCGGATCGGCCATGGAAGGAGGTCCATCCATGTCAACGCTCCCTCCTCCACCTAGGCGATGATTGCCTCTGCCGATCTCAACAGCGACGGTCGTGGCCTGCAGCACCGCGCACACCTCGCGAGAGCCTCCTCACCGCTGCTCCCGCGTGCGGCAGGCCAGATCGACTTTGAGGAGTATAAGAAGATCGTGGGCTACAGCGAGAATCGGCGCGCGACGCCAGACTACGCCAATCAGACGCGCATCTACTCTTCAATGGACGAGGCGTGGCGCCAAACTCGGTCCTAAACGTGCCTCTGGAGACCCCGCCCTCACACCAATCCCCTGGTCATGTACAGGTTCCCTTTGCCTTTGAGGACGGGCAGCAGCCGGGATACGCGCCAAATCCCAAGGCCGGTGTGGTCTGACGTGGTCTCCAGACCAGGGTGACGTCCGGTCCCTCGGCGGGAGCAGCAAGCAATGAACAAGACCCGGGCTGCGCGGGAGTGCGGGCACGGAGCGGGAGAACTCAAGGTGGAGCTGTTGTCAAGGAGCCCGCAAGGCAGGGGAGGCGAGAGGTGCGCGAAACGAAAGGCCGGTTTTGCGGTAGCCTCACACATCGCGTCCAGCTCTAGGAGCTTGTACGCATGTATGTTTGCTCTGTCGGAGCGGTGTGAGGCGTGAGACACACAGACACACCTGTCGGCGCTGTGTGATCATGTGCCTTTTCGCGACACCACGCCGGCGCTCCTCGGCGCATTTTTCGCGCTGCAAAAATCCCTTCACATCTCTTTTTTCCACACCGCGTGCACCGTCTCGAGCGTAATCGGGGCTTGTGTGTCGTGTTTGTGGCGGGCCACCACCTGTCCAGAGGGAGAGGTGTGCGCTTGCGCTCCTCTCCAGGATCAGGGAGTGGGTGAGTATTAACACACGCACGCAGCACACACACACACACACACACACACACACACACACACACACACACACACACACACACACACACACACACACACACACACACACACACACACATCACACACACACACATCACACTCACACACACACACACACACATCACACTCACACACACACACACACACACACACACACACACACACACACACACACACACACACACACACACACACACACTCACCACACTCACTCACGGTTCGGGATCACGGTCGGGATCGATTGCTACGTCTCGACACGTCTCGAACTCTCGGATGCGACCGTCCTGTGTAGGGATTTTCTTTTGTGTGGGCGGCGTCGTGAGCCGTTGTTGTGTGCGCTTGCGCGCGCTCCCAGTCTCAAAGGATGACAGAGCATCCCTCATCCTGAGGGAGGGTGTAGAGGATGTAGAGTGTAGAGCGCTGTAGAGCTGTAGAGTGCTGTAGAGCTGTAGAGCTCTACATCCGCCGCGGGACGATGCGGGTGCGTTGTAGAGCGATGTAGAGGCGCTCTACAACGTGAAATCTCTACAACAAACTCTACATCATAAGCGGCGAACGAGGCACGGTCGCTCTCCGACATGAGGCGCGTTGCACTTGCCAGTGCTGCCCTGGCCTTCTCTCTGCCCGCCCAATGGGTGGCAGATGCCTCTGCTGCTGTGGTATGCCTCACGGCTGCGACTGGCCGGCGCCTCGACGCGTCAGCTCGGCTCGACGTAGCGATCGTGGCCAGCGCAACTCGCTTGGACTCAACGCTCAGCCAGGAGCTCCCGCACGCGCTGGCGCGAGGCATGGCGCATGCAACGCGTCTGAATGCTTGCCTCGCCTCGCGCAAATGCGACCGTCCTCGCAGCCGACAGTCAACCGCCTGCTAAAGAAGAACTGCGACGAATGCGGCACCGGCGACGCATGGCAGGCTGGTCATGACGCAGTTATAGGGTGTTGTGTGCCGTCAGAGTGACTCTCTGTGTGTCAGTGATAGTCAGGGCCGTCCATCAGAGCTCCAGTAAGCTCGGAGACACCCCATTAGCGCGGCTCGACCTCTTTGAGTCACTGCCTTCCCGGCGGTTTGGCTGTAGAGCCTCTACAACAAACTCTACAGCAAAATCGCGCTCTACATCGCTCTACAACGCACCCGCTTCGTCCCGCGGCGGGTGTAGAGCTCTACAGCTCTACAGCGCTCTACATCTCTACAGCTCTACAGCGCTCTACACTCTACATCCTCTACACCCTCCCTCAGCCCTCATCAGCGCGTGTCGCCTTCCCGCGAATCAAGAGAGTTATAGTGATCACACGCACGGACAGTCGAAGGGTCGAGAACGGACAAATACACAAATACAAAAAACAACTTCGCTCTCACCTGGCAACCCTGTCTGCACGTCTCGCGCGCGCGTGAACAGGGCAACCACCATAAAGATCAGTCTGCAGGGGCACCACCATAAACTTCACTTTGCAGGGGCTCCAGGCCCCAAATGACGTGTGAGTGAAAAGTTGTTGGATTGCAAAAATCTCAAATCACATCGTCTAATTAGGGGAATCACACCCCAACAGTTTGGAACGGCGGCCGACGGTCATATGGGCTGATACAGGCGGTTGCGCCCACACACGTGAGGACCCACACACGGGCCCGTCGGAGTTTACTTGCTTTCGCGAGTAGTCAAGGCAAAAAAAAGGCTGGCATCGTCGGCCGTTTCGCGGCCGCTGAGCTCGCGACGCAAGCTCCCGGGCCTCAAGACGTCAAGAGGTGCGGCGGCACCCCTGCCCTGCTCACGGCCTCGCCGGCAGAGCGAGAGGTGCCCTCTGCCTCGAGACGCTCTGGTCAGCTCGGGTCCAGCTCGTCATGCCGTCGCCGCTTGCGATAGGGAGTGCCCAGCGCCCCAAAATCCATCACTGTGGGATTTCGCGCAATCGCTTGACTCTGAAAAGCTCGCATATCCCTGCGGTGAGCGCTGTGGTCGCCGCAGACTGGCTCTGACTTGACGGCGGCATGGAGACGTGATGCCTCCATGCCGCCGTCTAAGTCAAAATCGACATGCGAGTCGATCTTTGGCCCGCCAGAGGGATATGCGGCGTTCGGGCGACAATCAGCGCTGCGACCGCGAAGTGGCGGTGGACATGCTCCCATGTTGCCGACGCGGCGCCGGAGTGGCCGGCGCTGCTCGCCGCGACCACGACGGCTACTCTGATGCTCCGGGCCGACCCGTCCTACCCGACGGTGGCACTCTTCCACGTCTCGCTCACGCTGAGAAAAAGTCTGAAACGGCGTGCAGCAGAGTCGCCGACGAGTCGATCCGTGTGACTCCTCGTGTCCCGTACCGTTCTCACACATCCATAAACTCACTTTGGCCCCACTGAAGCGATGCCTGAATCCTGAATCCTCAGATTTTAGATTCTTTGGGACGCTGGGCACCTAGAGCTGTTTAACGTTGGGAGCTGAACAGTGTTGCTAGTGTTAACAGTAACAACAGAACAACAGTGGGGCTCCCCAACAACAGTAGCTAACGTTAGGCCGGCTGAACAACAATAAGGAAGGCCTGGCAGTGACCCACGACGACCTCCAGCGTCCAGTGCGGGTAATACCCGAAAATACCCGGGAAACCCCAGGTATTTCGGGTTTTACCCGGGTTTTTTGCCGTTTTCTGCTTGCTGGCCGCTGAACAACAGTAACAACAGTAACAAACAGTAAGTAACAGCATGGGCTGGGGTGAACACTTGAACACCGTTAAGGATTTCAGCCAACACTAACGCAACTGTTAGGCCCAAAGTTAATGTTAAACAGCTCTATAGGGCACCCTCTCTACTTGCGAGACCACAGACCTGCCGACTAGTTGCAAAAAGTCTCACGTGGAAAAAGCACCAAAAACTACCAAAAACGATGTCACGGCCAGCTCGGCACTATCTACTCAAAAAAAGTGACGTGGAGCACCCACTTTTTAAGCGTTCCGCGCACACACAAGATCCGCCTGCGTGCGCCGCCAGCTTCTCAGGGCCATCGCGCGAAAAACGACGGAGGAGATGCATCCTAGCTGTCGCCACCGAAGGCGACTCGACGTCGCTGAGATCGGAGATCAAGCTCTGACAGGTCACACGTCGCTCCTTTGACGCCGACGTGACTCACCCGTGCAGAGCACATCAGGACACGGTCTCGACGCGCTCGGTACAACGCCTGCGACCCGTCTCGGGTCAGGTGGCACGACGCTCATCGCGCCTACCAGCGCTGCCGTACAGGTTGCCACGACGAGGTCGAGCACGCTTCTATACGCTCGCCCAGCCTTCCTTTCCATCCCATTAGGCAGCCTGGGAACGGTGGCGGTCAGAGGCAAAGCCTGCGAGGGGTGGTGAAACCACATGTCACGGCCACCGCCGGCTCGACGCGACGACAGCCTCCGGAGGCTGACTTTGAGGCACCATCATCGGACGATGTCGACGAGTTGGGTCGCTCTCGCGGCAGCCAGGTAGCCCCCCATACTAGTAGCACCAGCCAT